CTGCGGGTACCAAGAGACAGCGAGGTCCTGATGTCCAGGCGCGCAGGACCCAGACGCTTGCACAATTCACTGACCCCTTCCAGCGATTGGTGATCGAGGGGATGTTCAAACAGGAAGACGTAGGCGACGACATCCGTGAGACTGTGGAGGCCACTAAGACAGACATCAAGAGGATGGACGGAGTTTTAGCAGAACACACTAAACGTATGGATGAAACGGATAAACGTATGGATGAACTCGAGAAAACATTAAAAACGGTTCAGAATGGGAGTGCGGTATCTACCTTCAGTGCTGGGAGTGGCCCCGCTGATGGGGGCGGCGGAGGTGGCGGGGGCAGGAACCAGTTCTCTCCAACATACATCGAGGTCAAGGGGTGGGTCACGGATTGGGCCAATCATCAGAATCGTTGTGCTCAAATGTTGACTGCCGACGACGCCATGATACTCATTGACAATATATCCAAAGTTATTGCCTCAGATGACCAGGCCTTTCTTAGCAAGGAGGGGACAGAACGTATCAATGCAGGTCGATACATGTTCGGCAGTTGTCGCATCAAGTTTCTTCCATTCACGGATCGAGAGGTGTTATATCGCTTTCAGAAGCTCCTCAGGATCATTGTGACTCCCACTGCACAGCGTGCCCCCTTGTCAGAAGGGGCGACTATTCCAGAACCCAGCGTGCTCATCGCGGGCATGACGCAGGTCATCGACCCGACTCAGCTACGTTTCAATATCGAATCAGCTCCTTGGAAGCGCGACCATGTTCGTGCAGTTGGTCGCTTCTGCGGGGCCTGGCGCAACGTGTGCCAGCGTCACGGATTGGTCCTGGAGGTGCGGGGAGAGGTCGGCCCCCCGAAATCGAACATGTGGGTCAAGGCTCAGGGCGACCGACTCCTCCGCCCGATCTGTATTGCTGAATTCGGAGCAGCCCAGACGTGGACTATCCTTGAGACGCAGTGGGGCCAGCTTCAGGTGAAGTTCCCAAGTCTGACGATCACAGCGACGGACTTCGAGGTCGAGGTCAATCGCAAGGTGTGACCGAATCGGCACCGGCTGTCGGGGATCAAGTTGGGGTGCTGGAACCTCGACAAGGCTGGTGAGAACAACTTCAGAGGCGTGGAGGCGCTCAACCATATGCGTGCATGTGGCGGCCTGTTCGCGCTTCAGGAGGCCCAGAATATAATTCATGCAGATGCCGCCCGTCTCGGATGGCAGATCAAGCACAGTGCCTGCAGGAAGGCGGGGCTCATCTTCGATCGAAGTTGGGCCTCGACGTCCAGGGAATTCATTACTACCTTTTCTAGATTCGCCATTGGTGTGTTCGGTACTTCCATCTCGCCCTTGGTTGTCTGCTCTCTTTATCTGCCCGATTCTCATCGAGAAGATTGCGAAGCGGAGTATGAACTCACGCTTGAGCGTGTCTCTGCCACTTTCACAAGCCTCAGACACAGGTATAGCCAGGCCAGCTTTGTTTGTTTGCTTGACGGGAATGTTGAGCTACCGCCACTATGTGAGTTAGAATGTAATGGGGAATTGTATCTTGCTACGGGAGAGGGCTTGAGGAAGGAGGTCAGGACCTTGGCATGTGGCACGGAGGAGAGGGAGCGTATCAACAGGAGGAGGAGGATGATGGAGATGCTCCTGGGGTTCATGCAGACCCACATGTTTAAGGCGGCCAATACCTTTTCTGCAGATAGGCGTCCTACTTGGGAAGCGTGGGGCGAACAACGTAGCTTCGGACGAATTCAGAAAGTGCTAGATTACATCTTGGTGCCCAGCCGCTGGGAGTGCTCTGAGTGTGAAGTTTCTTGGTGTTACGCAAGAGGAGGAAGGAGGAGTAGGAGTCGATTAAGTGATCATGCACTTCTAACTGGGCTGTTTGCATCGCCTGGCCGTGTGATTGTGCGACGTGACCACAGGGAGCGGGCAGAGCCGCCGGCGCCCTCTTTGGTAGGATATCGATGCGTGACATGGGGTGATGAGTTCAATGCCAGGAGAAGGGTGGATCGGAGCTTGGGAGATGTTGTGTTTCGTGGGATTCCCGCACGTTCTCTCGAGATGGAGCCAGCCAGCTTACCTTGCACGCTCATCCAGTCTTTTGTTGCTGCTCCTGACGTGGACTTTACCACGACGCAGAGCGGCAAGCAGAGGCCACCTGTGAGGCCGATCGAGCTCACTCGTCTTTTGGAGAGATGGCGGGAACTACCGCCAGGCACGACTCCAGAGGAAAAGAAACGTCTCAGGAGTGAGCTTAATCTACATCGCCGTCGGTATCGCAGAGAGGTTGCAGCCTGGAAGTGCCCCCTCAATCGTCGAAAGATTCGTCATTATATTAAACACTTGGTGGTGGAGGGCCAGGAGACGGAGGACAGGGAGGTCTGGAGGAAGGAGCTCGACAGTTTCTGCAGAAATAAGCTTTCATCGGATCAGATGCGGGAGGAGAACGCTAGTATGATGGAGGAGATCAAGGGGAAGGCGAGGGAGGAGCTCGGTAGCAGCACGTATTCGACCATCACTATGGCATTACTCGGACGTGGGCGGGCGCGTCTCCGTACACAACGAGCCACAGGGCCAGATCGAGTACCGTGTGAGGTGTTAAAGTGTCTCCCTTGGACGGTATTGCGCAATATCCGACGCTTGTTCAACGATATACTACACATGCGCACACCGTATCCCTCCTCATGGCGTGATATCCTCATCTCCTTTATGCCCAAGCTTCCTGGCATCACGGATCTTAGGGACGGTAGGCTTCTATGTATGCAGAACGCTATTGCACGATGGTACAGCACATGTATCGTTATCTTGGTGGAACAACATGTCGAGCGAAACGGTCTCTTTCGCCCTCTCGGTCTTTACGGCTTCCAATCTAACCGCACCACGAACGAGATCACGGCGAGCTTGAAACACATCGGACAGCATGCCTCTACATGGGGGAAGGGGGAAACAGCACATCTGGCCAATGCAGATATCCTACAAGCCTTCGACCATTGCACGGTAGCCAATGTTAGACGGGGTTTACAGCACGCACATGTACCTTATCATCTTCAATATGCTTTTCTCGATCCACTATGTGACAGTGTGGGGACGGTTTGCCATGAAAGTATCGAGGTGGAGAGTGTGAGATGGGATAGATGTATTAGAACGGGCGGTGCCGAGGGACCCCTAGGGTTCAACCTTATTATTGCTGCGATGTGGCAGGAAACCTTCCGACAGTGGGATACACAGAACATAGGTTATCAAGTGTGTTTTAAAACTGGGGATTCCATGGAGTCTGGCAAATCGTCCTACACGTCGGTCGTCAATCACTTCGTATGGGCAGACAATTGCTACATCTTGGCACGAAGCAGGGAAGAATTGGCACGCATGATTCACGACCTTACGGTTAGACTCCATGATTTCGGCATGCGCTGGAAACCCTCTAGCTTGCTCTACATGGTCTTCGGTGCCGACGCCGCGAGAGATGCCGAGGGGCTGATCCTTTCTTCAGCCGACTTACTTGTACCCTTCCAGAATGATGTTATGCGGTTCAGACGTGTTACTGAGATGACGGTTCTAGGCGTCCAGTTGTTCTCTGATTATAAGTATTCCTCGCACCTCGATGTGGACTCGAGGATTGAGGCGGCTCGTCGGACATTTTACTCCCAGGCAGGATATTTTCGGAACACAAGCACGTCGTTGAAGGAAAAGTTCCAACGATACCAGCAGAAGGTCCAGAGTATTGCCCTTTTCGGTGCGGGTGGCTGCACGGCCGACAAGGACAGCCTCCACGCACTGCACGCGTTTGAGGGCAGGTGTCTATGTTTCATGCTTCGATGCCGCCGAGAACCAGACGAATCCCATGCTACTTGGAACGAGAGAAGATACAGCGATGCCAGATTGAGGTTCGCAGAAGCTGGGTACCACAGTTTGGTCCAGAGATTTCTCCGAGCTCAGTGGCTGCTGGCAAAGGATGTCTCGGCGTATGCGCAGAGGTTGTATCAGGGAGAGGACATGAGGGAGGAGCATAGAGCATGGAGTGATGCACGCATGTGTTTGATTGCCTTTGGTATAAGTTATGATACGCTGCGCACACTTGAGGGAGAAGCCCTTCGGGCATTCGGAAAGTGGAGGGAATGTGGAGTTATGAAACGCTGGAGGTCAGGAGGGCAAGCGATCGGACAACGCTGTTGGCAGACACCCTTTCATGAGTTCTTCGGCCCACGGTGGTGGGAAGTATTCCAAGGCGGTCATCATGCCTTCATGCAGTTTGCAACTCATCATTGTACACCCTCTATGCTTAGACTTTTCCAGAAGAAATGCAAAGGTATCCATGATGGTAACGCCCCCGTTTTTCTGGCCGAACGTAATGAGGAGTATGTTGCTACAGAGGATGATTCTCCCGCTGCACGCCTGCGATTCAGTAAGAGATTGGCAATCCACAACATGAAGAGCACGTGTTGGGACGTGACTTCAGGAGGCGTGCCGTTGGAGATCACTGGAGATTCTCTTCTTATCATTTGCTGGCTCTGCGGCCTCTGGAAGGCAGATAATCACTTATACCAGAGACGTGTTGATAATATGATTAATGCTTTGGAAGGAATGTGTTGTATGTATGGTGTGAGACCTGCTGAAGCAGGACGCGATCTTTTCAAACATGAGTTTCGGGAATGGAATGAGAAAGCCGACCTCCTTACCCACCAGGCCCGCGAGGGCCACCAATACACGAACGAACAGTACCAGTTGCAGCCATACGAACAGTCATGCTATGAACCTTGCCTCATCAAAGCGGGCTTTGATGGTGGTGTGTGCAGCCTGGGAGCAGGAAGTGGAGCTTGGATTCAGATTGGACTGCGTTCTCGATTCTCCCATCTCTCGCCTACCTCTTCCTTCAGTGAGTCCCCACAGATTATCTTCAAAGACGTTTACGTTTGCTCCTTCGCTCTCCAAGACGGGTCCACAGTGACGGATACGGAACTCTCCGCTGCAGAGTGCGTCATCGCAGCACTCCCACGGGTTTTGCAGGCCTATTTCAGCGATAAGTTGTGTGATTGATGATTCTCTTTCGTGTGTTGCCTTCATGCGTGCACACATTGTGTTGATGTACACACACCTTATAAGAGCTGCCAGAGGCTACCGCCGAAGCCGCCCCCCACGTGCTTGGCGTGGTGAGGCTTTCGCCTTAGCCGCTCGGTGGCCCGCGTTTGGCGTGCCCGCCCGCCTCGGACTGGACGGGGCCCTAGGGCCCGTGTGTCCGCGAAACGAAAAACCAGATTGACGGTTTACCGCCGGTTCCGATTGGACCGCCCGGCCAAAAAGGACAAATTGGTGAGTTTTGGTCGGTTTCGCAAAAAAATTGAAAGATATTTGACCGTTTGTTTTGAGAAAGGAGATTTTTGCGCGTCGCATTGGCATATAAACTCCTTCTTGACAGCAGCTCATCTCACCCGATGCATTTTTACATGAGTTGACTTCCGGGAACTGAGCGAATATGAACATCGAATTTCGAATTTTTTTTTTTCACTCTGTGTCGATTTTCTGCACTCTTACTAGTGAGAGGAGCTCTACGAGGTTCCCGGCGGTGACCAGGTTAACGGTTCCCCGCCGGCGCCAGTTTGAAAGATATTTGACAATTATTCATTTTGAGAGCAGATTTTTCGCACCTGTACACGACTATGAGGGCCTCTCTGTCTTAGTATGAGCTCCGTAGGCGCACTTTTATTATCAAAACACTTGGGGGGGCCATCTTCATGTCGACACGAAAATAAAACAATTTTCCCCTTTTCGAGAAATACTTCCAGAAGCTTTCTCGCGTGAAAGGAGCTCTACGAGGTTGCTGGCGGTGACCAGATTGACGGTTCACCGCCGGCGCCAGTCAAGTTGGTCGACCTGTCCAGAAAGGACAAAGTGATAACTTTTGGGTGGTTTTGCAATTTTTTGAAAGATATTTGACGATTCATTTGAGAAGGCAGAGTTTCCGCACCTGTAAACGACTATGAGGGCCTCTCTGTCTTAGTATGAGCTCCGTAGGCGTATTTTTACGATCAAAAAACTCGGAGCAACCATCTTCATGTCGACACAAAAAAAACAATTTTTCCTCTTTTCGAAAATACTTCCAACTCTGAGCACTCTTACGCGTGAAAGGAGCTCTACGAGGTTCCTGGCGGTGACCAGGTTGACGGTTCATCGCCGGCGCCAGTTTGAGCCGGCAACTGGTCCGGGAGAGCTTCCGGCAAGCTTCCACGCATGCCTGCACGCTTTCAAAAAGTACTGTGATCGGCCGTTTCGAGTTATCTTGATTCACGCTGTCGGTATACTCAACTTAACTCGAGATATAGAACTTCTACAGAGCTGGTAAGCAACTTATCGATTCAGAATGATCAGGCGCGTTGTGCAGTTCAACTAGAGGTCTGAAGTCGGTCTGCTAGCCGAGCTAGGTCGGCAAACTTCGTATTATTCGAGTCATCTTGACAGGCGCTCTCCGTTTTCTGTACTTAAATCGAGCTATAGGACAGCTATAGGTCTGATATATACAAAAACGGATTTAGAATCATCAGTCGGCTTTGTCTGTTGAGTCCAGAGCTCTGAACTCGGTCTGCTGCCCGATCCAGAATCGCGAAACTGTTCGTATTGTCCGAGTCATCTTGAGAGGTGCTGTCGGTTTTCTGCACTTAACTCGCGCTGTAGGGGGGCTGCAGTCTGGTGGTGACAGCAATCGTTTGAAGACATCAGGCGCGTCCACCTGTGGAATCTAGAGCTCGGAACTCGGTCTGCTGCCCGAACTCGGTCCGCGAAACTGTTCGTATTGTTCGAGTCATCCTGAAAGATGCTGTCGGCTTTCTGCACTTGACTCGGGCTGTAGGGGGGCTGCAGGGCGGGTAATCACAGGAATCGATTTTAAGACATCAGACGCGTCCGTCTGTCGCATTCAGAGGTCTGAACTCGGTCTGATACTCGAGCTTGGTTTGCCAAACTATTCCTCTTGTTCAAGTGATCTTGAGAGGTGCTGTCGATTGACGCACGCTACTCGGGCTGTAGAAGAGCTACAGAGCTCGTGCAGAAGATAATCCAGAAGCATCGGGGGGCGTTTGGCTGTTGCTTCGAGAAGTCTGAAATCGCTTGGACTGAAAAACTATTCGTTCTCTGCGATTTCTTTCGACATTATATATTGTCAGGAAGCTCTACGAGTCCCCCGGCTGTAACCGCCGGCGCCCAGTTGGCGGAGCCGCCCCCGACAGACAATGTGCGAACTTTGGGTGAGTTGGACAATCTTTGTGAGATATTTGAGCATTTTTTTGACAACCGGTATTTCTCGCACCTGTAGTTGGTCATTTCGCGTTATCAAAACACCTGTCGGAACCATTTTCTCCATGAAAACATAAACGTGGTTTTCCGAGTTTTTCAAATCTTGCTCCAGACTCTTCCTGCACCGAGGGCGCTGTACGATAAAAGAGCCCTGGAAGGACGCTCTGTTTACCGCCGGTTCCAGTTGGACCACCCGGCCAGAAAGGAGAATATCTTTTTGGTGATTTTGCACTTTTGGTCGGTTTGAAAACTTTGTTCTCGAAATTCAACAATTCGTTTGAGCTCTAGTATTTTTTCTGACCATATTCGATCTTATTCCCGCTCGCCATCTTATTCTCAGCTCGATCGGATAAATATTTCTGCAAAAAAGCATCGCGGCGGGATTGGCTGTTTCGAGTCATCTTGATACGCATTGTCGGTATTTTGTAGTTAACTCGAGCTGTAGGGCAGCTACAGAGCTCATTCTCACAGAAATCGATGCGAATCATCAGGCGCGTTCGTCTGTTCCATCTAGAGGTCTGAACTCGGTCTGCTGCCCGAGCTAGGTCCGCGAAACTATTCGTGTTGTTGAGTCATCTTGAGAGATGCTGACAGTTTTCTGCACTTAACTCGGGCTGTAGGGGGGGCTACAGGCTCGTACTCACAGAAATCAATTCGGCGACATCAGGCGCGTCCGCCTGTCGAATCCAGAGCTCGGAACTCGGTGTGCTGCCCGAGCTAGGTTCGCAAAACTATTCGTATTCGTCGAGTCATCTTGAGAGGTGCTGTCCGTTTTCTGCACTTAACTCAAGTTGTAAGGGGGCTGCAGGGTTGGTAATCACTGGAATCGATTCGGAGACATCAGTCGCGTCCACCTGTCGCATTCAGAGCCCTGAGCTCGGCCTGCTGCCCGAGCTAGGTCCGCGAAACTGTTCGTATTGTTCGAGTCATCTTCAGAGGTGCTGTCGATTTTCTGCACTTAACACGGGCTGTAAAGGGCTGCGGGCTGGTAATCACAGGAATCGATTCGGAGACATCAGGCGCGTCCGCCTGTTGCATTCAGATGTCTGAACTCGGTCTAATACTCGAGCTAGATTGGCGAAACTATTTGTATTGTTCGAGTGATCTTGAGAGGTGCTGTCGATTTCCGCACGTAACTCGAGCTGTAGGAGAGCTACGGAGCTCGTGCGCACAGAAAACGATCCAGTACCATGAGGGACGTTTGGCTGTTGCATCGAGAGGTCTGAAATCGTTTAGGATGAAGAACTATTCGTTCTCTGCAATTTGTTTCGACAGTATATATGCTCAGGAAGCTCTACGAGTCCCCCGGCGGTAAGGAAGGTTGACGGTTTACCGCCGGCGCCCAGTTCCGGCGCGGGGTGGAGCTAGTTGGTCGACCCGGCCAGAGAAGAAGATGTGATAACTTTGGGTCGGTTTTGCGAGAATTTGAAAGATATTTGACAATTTATTTTGGGAGAGCAGATTTTTACTCCGAGCATTAGTATATAAACTTCCTTCTGCGAGCAGTCTGGAGGGAGTTTTGATATCTAAACATTTGGAGGAACCGACGTCATGTTGATACTGAAAAATCAGAATTCGGTATGTTTCTAGAAATGCTCTGAGAAGCTGTCTGCTTTACATCTGAGCACTCTTACGCGTGCAAGGAGCTCTACGAGGTCCCGGCGGTAACCAGGTTGACGGTTCACCGCGGGCGCCAGTTGGTCGACCCGGCCAGAAAGGACAAAGTGATAACTTTTGGGTAGTTTTGCAATTTTTTGAAAGATATTTGACAATTCATTTTGAGAAAGCAGATTTTTCGAACCTGTAAACGACTATGAGGGCCTCTTTCTCTTAATATGAGCTCTGTAGGCGCACATTTACTATCAAAACACTTGGCGGAACCATCTTCATGTCGACACGAAAAAAATATTTTTTCCCTTTTTCGAGAAATGCTTCCAGAAGCTCTCTCTTTCGACTCTGAGTGAGCACTCTTACGCGTGAAAGGAGCTCTACGAGGTTCCCGGCGGTGACCAGGTTGACGGTTCACCGCCGGCGCCAGTTTCGCCAACTAGCTCCACCCTGTCGCCGAATTCCTCTATCTCTCATACCATGAGAGCTCAGGAGAAAGTGATAACTTTCGGGTGGTTTTGCGAATATTTGAAAGATATTTGACCATTCATTTTGAGAAACCAGATTTTTCGCACCTGTAGTGGGTTATGCCGCGTTCGCCAGTCAAATTTTCAGGTCCGTGGGTGCAGTATTACTATCAAAACACTTGGAGGAACCGACGTTGCATAAAAATAGAAGAACGTGATTTTTCGATTTTTCCGGTTCTCGCTCCAGAAGCTTTCTTCATGTGTTCCGAGAAGCGCGGTGTGACAAAAGAGCTCTACGAGGGTCCCGGCGGTAACCTCGTTGACGGTTTACCGCCGGTTCCCAGTTTTATTCTCGAAATTCAACAATTCGTTTGAGCTCTAGTATTTTTTCCCACCATATTCGATCTTATTCCGGCTGGCTGTCTCAATGTGAGGTCGATCGGGTAGATATTACTGCCAAAAATCATCGCGGCGGGATCGGCCGTTTCGAGGTGATCTTGATACGCGTTGTCGGTATTTTCTACTTAACTCGAGCTGTAGGGCAGCTACAGAGGTCATTCTCGCAGAAATCGACTAAGAATCGTCAGGCGCGTTCGTCTGTTCCATCTACAGGTCTGAACTCGGTCTGCTGCCCGAGGTATATTCGCGAAACTATTCGTGTCGTTGGAGTCATCTTGAGAGGTGCTGACAGTTTTTCGCACTTAACTCGGGCTGTAGGGGGCCACAGGGCTCGTACTCACAGGAATCGATTCAGAGACATCAGACGCGTCCGCCTGCCGAATGCAGAGCTCGGAAATCGGTGTGCTGCCCGAGCTAGTTTTGCAAAACTATTCGTATTCGTCGAGTCATCTTGAGAGGTGCTGTCCGTTTTCTGCACTTAACTCGGGCTGTAGGGGGGGCTGCAGGGCTGGTAATCACTGGAATCGATTCAG